CCCATACCCGGCAAGACGTCCTTGAAAGGTCGAAAAACTTCGGCGAAGAGACAGAAAGGTGAAAGCAAAGCTAAGAAATCCCCAAAAGGAAAACGAACACAGCTTGGTACGTAAGGCACAGCAGCACTGAAACAAGCAGTCACCCGGTCTCACATGACAGCTACCTTAACTATTTCAGGCCCATGCAATTAAGTAAACATGAGATAAATTAGAATGTGCTATTTTATACAAATAACTGAGATCTACCATTACTGATTATGGTTTTGTAACCAGTATATGGAACACAACAAAGCTACATTGCAATATTTACAGGTCTTGCTAGTTTAGATTTAACAGCTTGAGGTGTCATAATATTGAATGGGAAACTAGGAGGTTTAGCATGTATTAAGTGGGGGAGAGTCACAAAAGCTAACGGCCCAGGGGAGCAAGCACCAGGGAGAGAGAAGTGCCCCCAGAAGCAGGAGTTCCAAGTGCTCAGGGTCACACTGTCAAGGTACAATAACAGAGCTTGGAAATACAGCCAAGTCTCCCAATTTCATTTTGCAGTGCGTTCTGTCGCATTTTTGCTGAGATGTGCTGAGATACCGTCTCACCCGTGACGTTTATAAAATGTATTTGCTCTGTACAAATATTTTTTCCAGTGACTCATGCACGTCCTCAGAAAAGGTGGGAACGTGCTCTCACTTGGGTTTTGTTTTGTTTCACGGATTATTTTTTTTTCCTGCCATGACAGCCACCTTCCTGAAGTTGTCTTTGCCTTTGACCCACCTTTTCCCTCCCAGCTGATCCGTAGCTGTCGTGCTGCAGAGAATATTCTGCGCATCGGTGCTCGTCTCCTCCTGCCCCCCTCGCTGTGAGGTTGGCAGGCCCTCTTCTCAGGAGCTCCCGCGGCACCCTGCCACCCCCAGCACTGCCCGCCTCACCCTGTCAGAGGGGACCAACGCCTGCTCCTCCCTGCTGCCCGACCTGGGCCAGCCTTGCCCGTTCACCCCCTCCTCCCACGGCACGACTGGCACGGGAGCTGCCCCACGCAGGCAGCGGTCAGTGCAGTTTTCAACCACGGAAACTCCAGTGTGAACCACAAGATGATGGATTTCTTACGGCTCCTCTCTTACACAGACCGCCTGCTCACAATAATAATTACTTTTAAATCTCCATGGTCTCCAAATGTGCTAATGTCACCTTAAGATACAGCCCTATTTTAAAAGGCTTCGCCCATTTGTGTTAAATTTGAACTGAGTAGAAGTTATTTTTTCATTCCTCTTCACAGTTTAGTTTTACATGTATACAGAGATTGTAAATATCGCCCTAACAAGGAAAGGGCTGTGCATTTGTAGCGACTTCATTAGGAAGAAAAATCACCAATAACGTCATGTCGTTACATTTCAGCTAAAAAAGATGAAGCGGATCTTTCTATGGCTGGTATAGGTAAGTGCTGCAATGACTGGGCTTTAAAGGCATAGTTTTGGAATACTTTAAACATTTTGAAGCTTCAGTGTTACTGAAAAGGAAAGATTTTTTTAATGAATGGGGGAAATTAGAAACTATGAAGAAACGCAGCTATCGCCGTAGTGACTACAGTACCCCTCTGTGAGCAGCAGGCAGTGCAGCAAGATAAAGAGAGGTGTTTTTATCCTGGGTTGAAAGGAATTGGGATCAGGGAAAATAAAGAGCATTACAACAGAATTATAGGGTGCAAAATGTTTGCATTTAGTAATAGTTAAGCAATTGAAAGGATTTTTTTTATCCTTTTCAAAATCTTTGATCTTTGTCAAATCACTGAATCTGGTGAGAAGATGATTTTAGCAGATTGCTTGGTGGGTTTTTTTTAAATCATAGATACCAATAGACAGTAATTGCAGAAAGAAAATCTGCCATTTTAGCGTCAGAAGAGATCGAGCACTTCTCTTGGCTTATGAGCAAGAACGAGGCCGCTTTATGCAGTTTTCAGTCTGGCCATAGTTATGAGCTAAAACATGTAATTATTTGAAGTATATTCTTTTATCTTAAACACCAAACATTTTTGAAATGTTTTTTCACATCTCTAGTTAGATTTTTCTTCTGACACGATCTGTGCAGGTTATATATTTGGCTATAACTTAAACGGGTATCGATGTAAAATTCATCTACAGTTTACAGGAACAGCCCAAAAGATGATCTGCTCCATTAGCTTTTAACAGCACAGCTTTTCTTGCTAAAAACTAAAGCATAACAACGTGGCAAATAGACAAACCAGGTCCTTTTTCAAGAAATCATAAATCACTTGTCTTCCTACATAATCCTGTGAGCACATGGGTGGAAGTGAAAATCGCACAATTAGCTACACCGAAACGGGTAAGCTGCACTTCATGAAAATGGACAATAAGTGAGCCCTCAGGCGATGAAAGCCTTCCTCGAGATACTTAGTTTTGACAGTAAGAGAGAATTTTACCTCCACCTAGTGGCACATAAGCTTGGAAGCCATAATATCGAAACCACTGCTAGAAACCTGTTGCTAAAGGCAGGGAAAAATGCCGCTCTAGGCAGGATTTCTGTCACAGCCCATGTATTTCTGCGTTGTCCAGGTATTCGTGGTGTCTCCTTAGCTTAAGACCTGCCAGTGTTCTTTACTCCCCTTGGAGCTTTGTGGTCCTTTGTGAAGTTCTCGCAACATGAGGAGCTGTTGACCGTTACAACTTATAGGGGTACCATTTATGATTAGAACACCACGTGAAGCCTTTTATTCGATGCTACATACTTGTTACTGGGAAGCAGCATTCTGTAGAAATGTTCCAAATAGTAAGAATTCCAGTATCAGCTCTTTACGTTGTAATACTGAATCTATAACACAGATCCTATAGTACAGAATCTGTTATAGTACAGAAGTCTATAAGATAGAATTTTATTCCTTTGGACTAAAAGATGGACATATTTTAATTCTGATCATTGCTTTGTTTTTTAACTTGGGACTTTTTCCGCTCATAACTATGGCCACACTTAAAACTGCATGGAACAACCTTGTTCTTGCTCATAAGCCATCATACAAGCTTCTTGAATAAACAACAGTTACTCCTGTTTAGGATTTTTGATGTATCAAAAAAACCCCAAACCCTAATTGTTCGGTTTTACTTAAATTTATTTGAGCCATGGGAATAAACTTCTGAAAACATCTCCCAGGAGAGAGAGCAAATTTTAAGGTTTCTTTAGGTTCTAGCCCTCCTAATTGCACTAGCCACATAACCAACTCTGAGGACCGCGACACGTAGAAATTTGTGGCTCCTTTGCTCTGCTGTCCGTTCTGTCCCGTGAGCCAGCGGCGCGCGGCAGAGGATGGAAACTGCAGTCTGTTTTGGTGCACAGCTCTAGGTTTCTATCCTCTTTCTGTCCTCTGAAATTTAATTTGCAAAAGGAGGTCTAATTATTTTTGCTCCAGGACATCTGTACTGTTGCAGTTTGTACTATGGTTTGAGTCTGCTTCCTCGTGAGGCCTCATGCCCTTGGCTGGGGTGACCTGGGAGTCCTGCAGATCAGCTTTTGCAGTTCCTTAAAAGGATTAAATGTTTTCCAATCACCCCAGAATAAACATTTTTTTCCGGTCTCATAGCCAAATTGATAAGAAAAGAGGAATCTAGGTCTTGGCCTCATTAGCTACAGAGCATAGATGTCAAAAAGGCCAGGACAGGGACTCTGGAAGATAAATGAGTCCTGGCTTGGCCTGGTGTTACCAACAAGACGTTTGGACCAGATGACTTTCAGAGATCTTTCGCAACCAACATCGCTATGATTTTGTTTGGGTTTTTGTTTTTTTTTTTTTTGAAGCATTCTCACAGAAATCCCAGAAATCTCTGAGATCTCACAAAGGAAAGTCATGCCACATTGACTGCAACTTGTGAAGAAAGCGAACTAACGGCCCGTGCACGCTACAAACGGCTCGGTCGTGCTACAAAATGGCTCGTGAGGGCCAAGTGAATCACACTTGGTGTAGTGCAGGGTATGCCAGAGGCACCACACGTGTCATCGATTTTAGTGATGACTACAGCAGAGCGGGTGCAGTGGAGGAGCAGCACTGAAAGATTTTAAAGGATAAATGTCAGATTCATCGAACATTACGTATTATGTGATAGGCTTACGCAGAGATTTAGCGTCCCAGATGACAGAGATTAAGGATTTATTGTTTTGTCAGTCCTTGTTGGCTCAGGTTAGAGAGGGTTTCTCAAAACATGCTGAGCCAGCTGGTCAGTATTTTAGGTACATCAACTTCAATTTAAGGCACACACAAGGAGAAAAATACCACAGGCTCTGGGAATTAAGATAAAATATTAAACAACTCATATTAAGAAAACAGAACGAAACAAAGGAGATGGAAAGTATCAGCTATTATCACAAAAGCCAGCCCACTTCAGTACATAAAACCCCCATGTACACATGTCCCTAAATCTTTTCCACTTTCCAGTTTATCGAAAAGACGAACACCTACTAGTCGCCTTGGACAAAAGTGTAGTGGCTTTCATGAAGAAAGCTCTTACTGGGGCAGCAGAGACATACAGCATGAGTCTGCTCAGCACGGCAGTGTGGCCAAGGAAGAAAAGAGCCTCTTAGGCAGCAGGGATCCAACTTAACTGGGCCTACAGTGATCTTAATCACTCGTATCTGGTATGTAAGCCAGAAGGCAGACACGTAACGTGGGAAGGACCCGCGTTACGTACACAGAGCTGACACCCACTTAACAAGCAGCAAGGTGTTTTATCTTCAGACTGAGTGTGTGCAAAGCACGGCCGCTGGGTCACCGAACTGCTCTGAAAACCAATGAAGGTAGCAGTGCCAGAGCACTGAGAAAGAAGAAAGAAATAGCTGCCTTGTTCTGAATTAACATGAACGAACCTAACAGACGTCAGGTGCGTGGAAAACAACAGCTACATGTTCTCCAGCAAAGTGAAAATAAAGTCTTGTACCTGGCTTGGATCTTAGTGACCTTGCTTTAGTCTCACCGGTTAGCTGAGAAACAGACTCAACTGCACTCTGAACTGGATGAGAGGAAGATGAAAGTCCAAAATCAGAGAAGCTTCCTTATTTGGGATGGTATTGAAGCCTTGTTTAGATTAAATATTGGCTTAACGTGGCATTGCTCTCCAGGGAGGGATTAGAGTATATTTAGTCTCTTAAATCAGAGCCATGCAGTTGTGTCCTTAATGTATTAAAACCAGTCCACTAATGACCCTTCACTAACGCTCTTAATCAACGGTTGATCAAGAAAGAAAAAAAAAAGCCCCTCATACTAGGAATAACACATTCCTTAGGCAGGAAAAGTTTGGTAGTCTTTTCCAAGATTAACAAAATGTGACATCATCTGTATTCCATGCCTTCCAAAACACCAACAACTAAGCCGAGAGTGTCGAAGGCATTCTGTTAGGAAACAGTAAAGACCCAGAGTTATTAAGGTCTATGTTTAGGTTTAAACAACACTCTGAGTTTATCATGCAATTCTGCTTTCTTTCATAGGCCACCCGGAAATCTTTCCTTTAGTTTTCACTACAAAGACCCAAGACATTTTTAATTGCCGAGTTGATGAAGACGTCACAGAAGAAAACTGTTTCAAACTTATTAAGAAAGAGGACATCATTCAGGACCTGAAAACAAGAGCTGCAATTTCTGATTTCCACCCTGTGAAAAGAGTTGTCCTGGTATGTAGCTTACTTCATTCTCACTTTAAGACTTTATGCTCTCAGAGTATATATATTTTCTAAGGATAAGATCTGTCCTTGTTTGACTCTGTAAATACACCAATGCTGTAATATCCAAAGGCTATAGCTCATGGACAACTGTCAGCTCAAAGTTTCTCACGGCTCACAGCATGCACTTTTTTTTTTTTTTTAAACTAACTTTAGACAGAAAATATGCTAAAAGTAGCATAAACACTACTAGTTTTGATTCTGTGAACTGGCAGAGCTTCACATCTCTTGGCTTCCCCTAATTCATGGCCCACTTGTTGAGAAACATTAAACCAGTTCCTTTTCTGTTTAGTTCTCTGTATGAAAAAGATTAGTTTTACCCCAGACTTATTTTTATGACAAAATAAAATCCACCTGCTCTTTTCCATTAGCACAGGCAATTCTCTGTTAGGACCACAACATTAACCAAAGACACTGAATTTACGCTAGCGGTAGCTTTGCCAGTCACAGGCTCCTGTCTGTTTTGGATGATACTTGCTTTGAGTTTTCCACTACTTGTTTTCATTAAAACAGGAATACCCAGGGGAAGAACTTTTGGTAGTTTTTGATGCAAAGTTGCAGTATGGACAGAACTTTTACCTTGTTGCTTCCGAGGAAGCCAAGGAAAACCTTCTGAAGGTAAGAAAATCCAAGTATACCACAGCATCCTTTTATCTACGAATTCTTCAGAATCTTGCCTCAAACATATACTTCAGGCATGGTAGTGTCTTCATAAGCATCTCATACGCTTGGCATGCCACAATGTTTCTCAAAAGGTTAATCTGATAATGGAAAAATATGTGTATCACTGTCAAAATATCTTTTATACTGAGAAAGATCGAATTCAATGTTTGTATTTTACTCCAGAGGACCAGTATAACCCCCATTGCTGCATTTTTATGATAAGCGTTAATTTGCTCTGCCAAGACCCAGGTTTCTAAGACAGACATAAAAGGTTATAGTATGCTGGGCATCTTCAAAGAAATATTATACTTATTTTTCATAATATGTATGCATATATTCATCAACTCATACTTTAAAATGTTCTTGAGTTCTAAATGACTCTAGATGCATAGAACATTTCCCCTTGTGCACTGCCTCGTAGGAGAAGATTTATGGGCACATTATATAATTTTTCAAGACGAGTTTGTCACCCAGCATCAGGAGAAGTAACAAGTAATAGAAAAGCAAACTGCAATTCCAGGCAAGAGGACCTAATGTAGAAAACCACTATAAATCCTTTTTATCTAACAGGGATTTGCTGTCAAGACAGCAGTCTGTCTTCAGTAGTCAAATACTGAATATGTAACGTTTACTGGAAAATTCTAACGCACAAATGAATGAATGGGACCCAACCCAATCGTACCTGGGGGCGCTCTACAGCCAGACTTACTGCAGAGACAAAAGTAAAGAATGTGTGAATAAAGGCTGAAAAGGGGGTTTCTAGTTCATACTTACATTTCAGGAACAAATTTTTGAAAAAGCACTATATCACACTGTTTGATGTCACAGATTTCAGAAACTGCAGAAGAAAAAGAAGAAGAAAATCGAGAGGGAACTCCAGAAGTCCTTCCTTATAAGCCTCCCGTCCAGAAACCCTGGGTTTCTCTTGGCAGCGAAAAGGAAGTTGAAGAGGAATCTGTTACAGAGGCTGTTCCAAAGGTCAGAACCAACAGATGTTACTCAATCAAATAAACATCACAAAACCAAATTTAAGTTCCTTAAAGAAAAAAAACCTCAGAAAACTGAAAGCTGCAATTCTAGTTTTTCTTGGGGTCTTTCCAAAGAAAACAAAAAAAGAGACACAACTAGCTCAACATTTAACAAAAACTGAAACTTTGTGGGTTGTTTTTTTTTTTTTAATTTTGACAACTGTTCTTTCTAAATCCTGCAAATAAGGCATGTGAGACTGTATTGGACATAACAACTTCTTAAGCTGTAAGGTCAAGAGTCCTGACCATCCGGTCATTAGCATCCCTGCCACTTTTTGCTCAATTTGCTATCTGGCCAGATTACAAGTTGAGTCATGGCAATTATATTCTAAGGACCTAGTGCTGATTCCATGGAGCCCAATGAACTCTGTTTCATTATAGGGACGGCATTTAAATAGCATGTAAGGCTTGTAAGGGCTTTCTACCTCGGAATAAATGTTACCAGCTACAGGTTATTACAAGTTTACAGAAGGATTTATTTAATTAACTACGCCTACAGATTATACTGAGAAAATGATGCACCCAAAAAGTAGATCCACTCACAGCTGTCACCAAACTTGTGATGTGTGGGGCATCTCCAAGCATTTGACTGTCCATCAGTGATTTTTTAGTCAACACCTAAATCCCTGATTCAGGGAAGACTGGCTAAGTTTTGACAGTTCTCAGCAACCGGACATCTTGCTTATACTTAAAAAGATGTCCGACGGTTCTAAAGCTAATTCACTGAATTTAACCCACATTCACAGTTTAAGTATTTTGTGTTCTACCTTGCTGGCAAGGTCCACTCAGAATCCGCTCAGAAGTAGTCTCAGCTTACATTCCCTTCCAGTTCTGTGGAAGATGCTGGGAAAAAGCCCCCGGCTAGGAATCCAAGAGGAAGCCATACCTCCCTACTGCCTGAAATCAAGGGCCTACCTCTCTTTGCGGGTGGAAGCCAAGCCAGATCCCTTCTTCCTTCCTAGTTCTCGCTATAAGGAAACCCCTCACTCAAATTTCTGTGGTTCCTCTTCGGCATACGTTTCTCTCCCTAAGCACTGCAAAGGAAGCTGAAATAGCTCACCTGAAGTTGAGAACTGCACTAAGAGGGAAGGGCTGAAAAGTTCGGTCTGGGAAGCCCAATGCAGTATTACACAAGCCCTCCTGCAAATCAATCCTTTCATTACAGGTGCAAGTTTGATACTGTGTATGAACGAGAAAACGTAATTCTCTTACCCTATGAGCAGTAATCCAAAAGGTTACCTCAAGGCAACTTCTTGGTTTGGAAATACAGACCTGTTCTCTATGAATTCGGCAGGTTATTTAGCTGAGCACTTCAGAACGGCAAAACGCAGAAGTGTAAGTACGCTCAGCCCAGAAATCATCACTAGAACTAGTTCTACAACTACACGAACGCTGCCATTTTACAGAACAGACTTTCCAAAAACTTTCTCCTCTGCTAACTACAGAAATATCTCTTTTCCAGATTAAGTATATGTTTTCTCGAGCACGCAGGCAGTTCGGTGCACCAATTACACTTACCGATAGGAATGCTTCACACGTGGAAGGCAGTTACGTTGAATGCACATCCTATCAAGACAAAACTTTCAGTATTAAAAAGACTGAAAAAGATGTGGGCGTACAAATGGTTCCAAAAGTAAGAGAAACTACTACTCAGACAAAATGGTAAGTGGGAGAAAGTATTTGTCAGCTCATTTATTAAGCTACGCCCTGTTTCCGATCTCAACTAAAGCCATGTGAATGAACTCCTCTGGAGTTACTCAGTTACAAAGTGATGAAGAAAACAGAATTGGATGCTCTGTTTCCATCTTTCTTCTTTCACTCTTTTCCAAAAAGTTTCTAGGAAAACTGAATGTACTCAGCTTTTCATTTTACAGATTACATGGGTTTCAGTCTTTGAATTTGTTTCTATACTTACTCACATTCAAATTTATTCCAATTGGTTAGGACCTATCCAAAAAATGCAGCCACGCAGTATTTTCCGAGACAGTTGTCAAATGAAGAGAAAGAAGAGTGTCTGTCATCTAAGAAGCTGAAAGAATTTCTTACCTCAGTACAGTTAAGGTAAAATTACGGCAGCAATACACATTAAAGGCTCCCTGAAAAACGCAGAATCCAAGCAAGAACTCTTGTCTGAGTGGACCACAGGTCTGGTCAAATACCGATTATTTTTTGTTTGTTTGTTTCTATGTACTCTTTTGGTTTTGTCTTATTATTTTAATCTTAACTAATATTAACTTAACATTTGTTTCTATGAAAATTAACGTGAAGTCTCTGCTGTGTAGATACAAATGTTGGTTTAAACCAATACTAGAACTGTCAGAGTTGACAGCGACACAACTTTTCGAACAAGCTGCAAAGCTGATCTTCCAAACACTGCTCACTCGAGCAGAGGCTCACGCAGAAGACCAAAGGTGCTGTCCTGCAGCCCTTCATCACGGGACCGGTCCCACTTACTGACCCTTTTTGCCCAAGGATTGGACAGCTGCGCTGTACTTGACCCACACAGAACGGAATTCTTAGTACGACGAGTTATTTGTATTTAAATGGATAAAGGGTTTCCTTACAGTGATGCATCACTGAGGAATTAATAATTTTTAACTATTATTTTTTTTTTTTACTACTGTGGTCATGATTTTGTGTGAAACAAAAGCTGCCTCTTTACAGAAATATTTGTGATTCTGCTACTGAGGAGCCACGTCTGGATCACTGAACGCGTTAACTGTTCTTTTCACACAACAGAGTGGAAATTGCACTGCAGCAAAATGAAATGATGAATGCTTTTCTTGACGATTGGAAGGCCCTGGCAGAAGAGGAAAGCAGTTCTGGTGGCAAGCCAAACGGTTATCTTAGAGCGCAGCGATCACTTGCAGATCTGCGCCGCCTCAAGGACAGAACCATCAGCTGCGTGTGCTGGCATCCAACCCTTTATGGTAATGGGGTTCAAGCACTGATTTGAATGACGTGCGTTATACAACAGCTATAGAATATGTATCTTGCATAAAATTATCAGCTTTTAAACTCAAAACCAAAGCAAAACTGATTAAGTATGTCTGTCAGAATTGCTGATTGGAAACAAAACGAAGAACGAGACAAATTCTTGGCCGAGTTCAGACAGGCCACGCGAAGTCACTCGCACTGAGGTGTAAGTGGAGATCACGGAAAGGGAAATTTCTCCCTCAAGAGGCTCATGGAAGCAGGGCTGCAGCTGTGCCAGGTCCTTCTGGTGCCTCTGCACACCGTGGTTCTTCTCCCCATGGCTGGTTCTCGGAGCATGCCTAATGCTCGGGAGGAATGTTACAGCCACAACGGGACGCGGCTCTGCCGAGCGCCAGGGAGCACCACGAGGCGCCCTGACTGTCTCCTCCTGCGCCCTGCCGTGGGTTATCGCTGTACACAGCCAGGCCTAAAGGCACGATGAAGTTCTGCATCATGTCCAGCTGCACAGCACGCTAATGGCCAACACTGCAGCGTAGGAAATAATTGAGCTACAAAAGATTTGATACCAAGACGGGTGGCCAGACCACGTGCCAGTCACATCATTTCAGGTGCGGTATTACACCATTAAGGAGCAGTAGCAAAAAAGTTGAATTTTATCCAGCTCGTTCTTAAATAACTTCATTTTAAATAACAAAAATAATTTCCTCAAAGTTGATCTGTAAACAGAAAAATATAAATATATGCTTGAGGTGGGGGGTTTTTTTGCTTTATTTTGCACCTTTTTTTTTTTTTGCTTTATTTTGCACCGTATTCAGAAGGTATAAATATCAGTCACTTCAAAGAATTAAGCGGCATGTTGAAACTTGAATTGTCTCTTCTGAGAAAACTTGTTTTCTCTCTCAACCAGGGATTATAGCAGTGTCGGCAAGAAAGCGGCTTTCTTACGAAGAGGAAGTTAACCTGTCTGATAAATCACTGCTGCGGCGGTCAGTCATAGTTTTTTGGAGTTTTTTTGACCCTATCGACCCGAAGGTATTTAATCAGGACTTTTAAATATGCCAAGTGCTCAAATTCAAGAGAACAAACCATCAGTGTGACTCTATTTCTCAACTATTTTCATTCTTTCTAGTTAATGTTGGAGTGTCCTGAAGACATTTACTGCTTTCAGTTCAGTCCAAGTGATCCAAATATCATTGCTGGTGGCTGCATCAATGGACAGGTATTCATTCTCTGTTTAAGAATAGAATTGGCTGTGTCTGTATTTTCTTACAGTACAAAAATGAGGGTGAAGAGATGTACTCAACATCCACGGTGACACAAGACAGACGTCAGAGTCTCAGAAATTGTCTGAGGTTACGCCTGGTTATCCCACACCTGAGCCATTACTGTACGATGCTCCTTTGTCATTCTTATGAACAGGTCAAGCTGTAAAGACTTTTCTTTTTTTGCTTTGTTGAGGCAAGCGTAACCTTCCAACTGATTCCATCAGACTAGAGGCAATACTGTAAAGACTTCATAAGTTCTAGTGCAGAGAGAGAATTTCTGATTGTTCCCCAAACCTCCATAAATTGCATTTGAAAAAAAAAGCATATTAAGGATGAAATAATTCGGAATATACTCATTTCTCATTGTAGGTTGTACTGTGGGATATTTCTCAACATGGAGATAAGCTGCAGAATGCAAAAACTGCTGCTGACGGAGTCAAGTTGCCAGCTGTCGATATGGTGAATGCTTCCTTTCTAAATATACTGCAGGGCATCTGTGTGTCTGTGGGGAAAAACGGGTGAAGGTATCCTGACTCAAAACAGAGGAGTAGATAATCTTTGCAATGACACACTGGAAAGGATAAGAAACTTGATAAGTTCATGAAATAAACCCATTATCACAATAGAATTTGTACCTGATTGGTCCAGCTTAATAGCTTTACTGCATTTTGTGCTGACTTCGGCCTCAGTAAAACTATTCTTCGATGAGCACCAAGATATCCTCAACTCTTGCCTTGGGAAGCCTATAAAATACATACAGCATCTGTGCTGAATGTAATACTGAAAGTGATTCTGAAGTTTATGGACAGAAAAAAAAGGCAGCTGGGAAAACGAGAAGCAGATTTCAGTGGAAAGAGAATATAAAGGGGGTAAGCAGAAGACCGACCTAAGAGCAGAGGAGGAACTAATCCCATCAGTGGACATGTGTGTGCCTGGGGAGGCATGCTGGAATTCTTTCCACAGCTTTGTATCCACAGGCCTGTTTTGACGCTTTCCAATTATTTTTTTTTTTTTCCAAAGGAAATTATTAGACCCCCAGAAAGTTCTATAAACTGATCTGAAATACGTGAAGAAGCATTAACAGTATGTAAAGTAACCTTTTTTCTTTGACAGGTCTGTTATTGTATTTTGGAAATACACTAAAATACCTCTTTTTAAAACATTTCTAGCCATCGCTTATGCAAGACCAGCAGAGTAGCACAGAGGCACCTCTAGTGAGATGCTGCGCAGTCTCTTCCAGACACTATAGTCACAAAAAGCCAGTAACAGATATACATTGGCTGCCAGATTATTTTGAGGTGAGTTTAAAAAAGAAAAAAATCACTTTCCTTCTTTTTGTTGTTTTCTTAATCTACTACCTCAGAAATCATAGTGTAAACTCAAAAGAAAATATTAAAGACTCGATTACTTCTAATAGCCTTCATTATTTCTCACTGCGTTTTCTAAATATTAAATAATCTGGTGCCACTTGTCCTGTCCATCGTGCTTTACAACGGTGCTGTGTTCTCAATCTGGTGTGAATCTGCTCATACTGGAAAAAAAAAACCATCTCTGTAGCTTTACTGAATATTATAATTCGAAATTATAAATAATAATATATCTAAACCAGGTTGAATTTCTTCTATGAGCAATCTAGCCTGCCACCAAGAATTCAGACAAATAATTTCAATTACCTAAGTATCTAGGCACCCAAGAATGGCGTTATTGTAGTTGCCTTAATTCTTCCAGGTGCTGCCTGTGTACGCAAAACTTCCGTCTTCTGGGATGGTTTTAAAGCTCCATAGTACTGAGGGTCTATGTGGTTAAAGGGTCCAACACTATTACAGGAGTACTGGATGCTCCTTTGCTACCAAAGCACTGCAAATGGTTGCCCAAATTAATTCGAAAGGTGGTCAAATGCAAACTCCTGACAGTGGAAAAGCAGGTCAGGAGGAAGAAAACTGTGATCTTTAAAAGGTTTTATGCAAGTTAATATATCAATAATTTTTGGAAAACAACTTTTTAAGAGTTCATAGATACTGCAGACCTCAGCCACTCCACAGAGAAGTGAGGAAAAGGGAGCACACACGTTGTATAAAGCAAGCTGATACAACTGTTTGTTATTAAATTACGCTACAGTAGTACCCATGGATACCGATTGGTACCAGATGTACAACGTGAAGAAAGGGACCGGGTAGCAGAACGCTGTTGTGGTTTCTGTTGCTTGGGTGGGGTATTTTTTTGCCAAGGTTTGGGCTCAGAAAGCTGTTTTCACGCTCCTCTGGGATCACAGACAGAGGAAACCCGTGCTTGATGAATAACTGACAAAGGAATCGCCTTGTCACTGTTCAGCAACACGTACAGGGCCGTACTTTTTGTTACATGCACATGGAACCTGTGTCAGCCTTTGCACAGCACTGCAGTTTTTAGGGCACAGTTCCTAAAAATCAGCAGTTTATTATTACATAGCAATGAAAAAGTATTCAGAGTTCTAATTCGGCTTTGCGTGGCTGTGAGAACACCATTTTGACTCCAGGTAGGCAATCATGAATGAAAGCAAGAGTAGGATTTGGCCTAAAAAACCCCAGTGTAGCTGCAACTTTGCTGCATAGTTGGCAAGTACAGTTTTAGCCAAAATACGTATGTTTTGCATATACTGGAAATTATATTTGATCAGGGCACAGCCTGTAGTCACTTGTTCCCCCCCCGACACCTTTATTTTTCTGAATAAAGTAAAATGAACTTGGTATAAAACAACGACTGGAAAACGATAAGTGCTATAAAACCTGCAGAACTCCACATACACAAACCAAACTATTAACAATTACCACTGGAAGGCCCCACCACCACCCCGCAGTGTGGTCTAGCCGGGTGATCGTTTAAGAGAGATGACCCACGGTGTGAGCTTGGCAAGGAGATACCACTCCCACCACACTTAACTGTTTGAGATAAATGCCTCAATGATTTGCTCTTTGGTTAAGTTGGATTTAAAAAAAAAAAGAAGTTACAAACGTGGCAACCTAAGGAGGGCCCGACCTGCAGTGGTGCCACCAAGCATTTATCCTGCTGACTGAATTCAGAATTTTAGGTGTTTAGCAGGCGAAGCTGGTATCTTGCTCGAAGTACGTTTGTGAAATACCTTGCCTTTACCACCAGTTAGCAAGTCCTCATTTTCAAACCTTACCCAAGCAGAAACAGTGACTTAATTTCTACAAGCTCATTTTACGTGCTGAAGTACCTACCTAGGTGTAGGTTTAAGTTTTGTCTCTCCTCATCATCTCCCTCTGTAATTATTGTAACTTATTTTTAGGACAACCGGACGGGTGCTACTTCTGAAAAGAAAGCCGAAATTTGCTTGCAGCTTGTCACCTGCTCCCCTGACTGGTACGTACAACACATACCCTACAAGGTGTCTTCCAGTTTCCTTTGGAAAGCTTTATGGAGCACACTCCACCATTTAACTAGCACCCTTCTGGTTTCCCATCGGCCTGTCCTGAAGAGCTGAAATTCTGTAGGCAGAAGACAAGCACATCAGGTCTTGGCCAGTTAAGCCCTTTACAGTAGTGGCATTAAGGGCTCATTAACTGAAAAACCTCACACGTATATGTTCGTGTTCTGGGTGTAGAGCGTTGATCACACACGCCTGGAGAGCCACACCCCCACACTGACATCGACTATGTGACTTGCACAAAAAGCTGTTAAAGATTTTGAGGCCACAGAAATACTGTAAACTATATTTAAACTTGGAGGCTTAGCTGGCAAAAACCGATTCTGTATGAATCTCCTCTTTTGTGGACTGAATAGTTATGATGGCGGTGACCAAATATTATCCTCTGTGAAAGACTGGCCAGGGGGCAGAAGGCAAAGTGTGGAAATAAATGTATAGCTTTCAGGACGGCAAAAGGCTTAAGGCTTCAAGGCTGCATGGCTGGGCTCAATCATATATTTGCTAGTTACATCAAAAGGAGGGTCAGAGAGGGCCAAATTTGGCAATGATACAAAGTTAGTGTCCTTCATCAAATACAGAGAAGAGCTCAAAGAATTAAGTTAGAAGAATGATTGCAAATAGAGTTGTTAGTAAGTCTGAAGTGTAATGCAAGTAACGCACATAGAAGAAATAATTTAAACTACTCACACACACCGGGGGTCCAAATTAAAAGTATTCACTTGAAGTAAGAGCAGGGAGGTCACCGTAATGTCCTTGAAGAGCACAGGTCCCTGAGCACCTCCTGTTAGAAAGAGATGTCAGCAACGAGGAAAATTATCCCCGTGTATATCAAACCTGTGAATAAATGCCCAGAGTAGAGCAACAGGAACAATCCAAAGGCTGAAAACTCCAGTGAGATGATGGATTCAAGTGAGTGGGACCACTTGCCTTGAATGTCAGCAAATAAATGGGTGCACGCAAAAATTAGGAATGAGGTTCGATTTGGATTACTAGATTACGAGCTACAGAGCTCTGTCCAGTTCCCTCAGCCTCCAGGAATTTCACTCAGGTAGTGCCAGTAACTTCACCCAGTAACTTTCCATAAGCAAACGGCATGGATGCTGTCTAGCTGCTTTGTTAACCACCCCCGAAATGGTGACTAAAGGAATTACACCACCGTTTACAAAAGGGGCAATTAAGCAGCATTTGTCTGCTCTTCAGAGTCTCTATTGCTATGCAAAGTTTGAAGATGAAAGGCTAAAAAAGCAACTTTAAAACGTGTGGAAAGCTGCATCTGACTTTGAAACAAAACCAGGGAATAATATTACACAATCATTTTGCAGCTCAATATTATTTTGGGATATTCCAGCCACCAAACTTCCTCAACAACCTTCATCTGAGAAAGTGAAAAAGGAGGAAATTTTTTGTGTGTCCCCTGATGTTCCAGATACTTTTAAGCATCTAGATCTCTGCTGGAAACCTCTCATAAAGGTACTGTACCCTAATATGGAACAGAAGGATCAATACAGCCAGAAATCCATAGGAATGTGTTCTTTTTGCTTCCCAGCTCTTAAATTTTTCCAGCAAATTCCTACTTCCTTGTGAATTTCCTTCTGATTATGAAATGGAGGACTTCAATGTTCCTCTGAAACTTCAATAAAAGGCATTTTGAAAGGCTAACTCACAAGAAACGGCGCAACTGCCTCTTAAAAACCGCAGTAGGTGCAAAAGTAGTTGCATTAACAGTGTAAGTGCCTGTCAGCCTTTTCAACCGCTGTGCTGCCTATCTCAGGGGGTCCCAAACTGTGAAACGTGGTCACGGTCAACAGAACCATCATTACTGGCAACCCAACAGTCAGTCTGATGAAAACGGTCCTAACAGTTTAAAAGCGAGGCTGAAAATAATGTTAGGTAAAAAAAATAAAGAATAATTTTGGCCCTGCTGATCTGTGCTGCTCAGAAGAGCTGCTGCTGGTACAGCTGTGGAACAAGCATGACTGGAGCTGGTTTTTTCTAGCAACGTGGGAAAATCCTCACAGGGAAAGGCGAACACAAGAGAAACGACAGGTTTGCATCTTCTCTGTGCTTACATGTGAGGCAGCAAATACTCTTCGTGGAGTATTTACAAGCACGCTGCAGACTGAAAAGACCCGTTCCATTACAGCAGAAAGTCCTTTAGTCTTGTACCTCAAAGGGCTGACAAAATAAATCGGCAAACGCGTTTTTTTTCTGAACAGATAAACCTGTGCGGAAGTGACACCAACAAAGGGTACGGCCCCCTCAGAATGAGTTTAAGGGAACTGCATTATCGTTACAAAACCTCAGGTAATATTTTTATTACACCTTATGGGGGAAAATGTTTACAATAAGCTTCTCTTTCAGTACGTACCTAACGAAAGCTGAGCCACAAAACGCTGTATAGCTAAATGCACCTGGGGAAAAAGGTTTTGTCAATATGCTAGCATATTTATATGGAATACACTTATGAACAAATTTATAGGGAATACATTTATAAAGAGCTGTGTCTGTATTGTTTCCCAGAGAAGGCGCAATCCCTGAACATACTAGAACTACTCACCAAAGAGAGCCCACGTACAGAGATGAGTACTTCTTCAGGCAAAAATCTGAAAGTGCTAGAGAGCATCTCCATCCGCTTTTTTGTTGGAACTGAAGTGAGTGAAAATACTAGATTGCTAACAAAAAATGTTAATCCAAGATATGTGAAAGACTGAACAATTAAATAACAGAGTTCTCACAAATGTATGGACTTGCATGTTCTCTTCAGGCATTAACTGAAAACATCTTTCTGGACATGCCACATTTTACTCCCATTTTAATGCATTTAGCTACGTGCTTAAAATAGTAATAAACCCCCAATATATTTGGTAGACTATGAACTCTGACTTCAGGGGCAGAATTAGAAGACACTTCCAAAAATATGCTGAACTTAACTACCTGCTCTCAGGAGCTGAACAGTATTTCCTTATGCCAGAATGCGTACAATCAATAATATTTTTTAGTGGTTTCCCAAATGTCAGGTGAAAACATTTATATTACAGTTTCCCCCACGACTTATTTCTACTTTAGCAAGTCTCTGCCTACCCTATGTATCTAAAACTCCAACATCTTTCCTAGTTTTGAGTTCCTATGGAAATGAAAATTTGGCTTCTAGCTACCTTTTTTTGCTTCAGTCACTTCTTCCCCAAATACTGGAGCAAAGCACGAACTGTAAAAGCCGAGCCATCACGTTAAGCTGGTTTGGCAATACATCACTGAGAAAGGGCGATCCAAAATTTTAGTGGTTTTTCAGTCATTGGCTGCAAATTTCGCTTTTAATTTACTCAGAACGTATTTAATGATGGTTACAATTAAGTAAAGTCACAGCTTAAAAACAAGTCACCTTGTTATAAGCCACCGAGCTCTAACATTAGCATTTACTTTGTTTTTCTGGCATCACAGGATGGAGAAATTGCTTATTCTGACTGGAAAGTGGAAGTGGATAGGGACTCGGCAAAAGCAGTTAGTAAGTTCAAGTTTCTCAACACCTGTTTAAACCTTAATACATCACTAACTTTAAAATTCTTGCACCTACACTCTGTCTTTTTAAGGTTCTTGCTCATCTGCTGGGTTTAGCAGTACACCCTCAAGAGTGCGAGCCGTTTAGCTCACGACAAACACCGAAACCCCTCTCCACTACCACAGCTGCATTGCTAGGTACCCACCGGCACAAAGCACAGAAATAACTAGATTTTGCCACAATTTTAACGCCTGTACCTTGTGAGCAAAAACCAGGAGGGCGGTAGCTTCGAAGCCTGTGCTGGACCCTGCCCTCTTGTTCCACCCTGCGTAACAACACAATCACGAGAGCCCCAGTTACGAGCAGCTGCCGTTTTCATTCCATTAGGTCAGAAGCGCGCTCAGAAATGCACCACCCACACGGGACCCGTCACCACTCTGCAGAGATCTCCGTTTTTTAAAGACATCCTTCTAAGCGCTGGAGGCCGGAATTTTGCCATTTGGAAGGAAGGGGTTGCAGTAAGTGACTTTAACCCCGCTGTAACACGATCGATAGGTACACAAGCCAGAACTACAGCACCCTCAGAATCTGTCTTGTCAGAAACGTTTGTAAGTCACAAAGCTTCATCGTTTAGAAATAAATGGGGTGTAAGAGCAGCTTTTCCTTTCTCCTCACATCACCAAACTACTTTAGAAATAGCTTTGTCAACTTGCCTTTTACAGAAAAAAAAAATAATGAAGTGACCTTCAATTCCAACCTTGTGAAAACTGCAGCTTCTCAACAAATTATGCCTGCTGATAGGGAAACTGAAGAATAAACAGGTCTGAAGGACTCCTATTTAGGATGCAGCCTTTTCAGCTGAAGACAAAAAAATGGTTTGTTTTTTTTTTACAGTTCCTCTCATGCAGGAATCCAGGTTAGCTGCACCTGGCAAAATCTCAAGGCCGCAGATTTTAACAGCAGACAGACAATCTTAATAGACTGGAAATCAGATATCAGGTTTTCTTCCTTCCCCACAATTCTCCTCTTTCTCTGCAGAAGGTGATGGCGATTTTGCCAATGTTTGCGATAGGATCGTTTAAATTGCGAGTGTTCTTCAAGGACAGGAGGTTTGAAGCTGTAAATGGATGGTACTGTTTGAGGGACGGGTCTATCTTTTATTTATTTTCAAACCAGAACGGACCCATCCTTCGGTCAAGCTGCTCGGCAGGAAGAATCACTGCGGGACACTGGTCCTTAACAAGACCAGGAGTTTTCTTCATTGGCCGAGACGATGGAAATATAGATATCTGGGACCTGCTGCAGAAAACTTATGAGCCATCCCATCTCCAGAGCATCTCCGGATCCAGGATCACGTTCATCAGCCCCTGGATTGCCTCACGTATGTTGACGGTGATTGCGCTCTGCCGTGCCACCCCGTTTGCAAAACGGCCCAGGAATCGCACTACAGGCGACCTTATCTAATAGATAACGACACGCTTCCACTCGTTTAACCTGCACTGTATCCACAAAAATGCATACAGCAGTGGACTACTGCAGCATGCAGCAACTGAAAACATTTAATTAAACCAAAAAAAAGTTTGAAAAAGTATAAACTTCAAAGGGAATTTCATTTGTTAAAGAAAATAAGAGAGCACTGAGGCTGCCTTTTTGCTGCAGTGAATAAAACCCCCCAAAAGGCCACAACAGGACTTTGCAGGGCACGTTTGGGTGGAAGTATGCGTTACTGTTGGAATTTAGATTGTTGATAGGGTTTTTTTGTCCAATGTCTTTCAGCAAAGCAGCATTTTTTAGCTGTTTCTGATGACCTCGGAGTACTGCATGTTTTGGAAATCTGTCAGACACTAAGTTACTCTTCGAGGAATGAGGTCGGTAAGAATTTCTCTGTGATGCTTTATCCTGAAAACTCCAACACAGGAACAGGCCTGCCTGGAAAAACTTGCCTTCAAATGGATAGCAACTCATTTGAGATCAATGTGGCCATGCTCTCCAAAGACCTCCTGTAGCAAAGCTGGCTTTGCACAGGGCTCAGACAGGAGGCCCCTAAAGGAAACCCGGGTGTCAGCTGCCAGAATTCCCCGGCTCCAACCTGGCTCCAGGAAAACTCAGTAATTTTATTTCAGCGGGTTTTTTTTTGCCACATTCATAAAATGACACCCGGTTTCACGCATTAAAACAGTGCTATATAGTGCAGAGTAATGCAAATATACTGAATTTCTCTTTCTTTACACCTTCTTATCCACACTTGCATCAATTCTTTTCCTGGAAATCCGGTACTTTGATTTCCACATCTTAGTATCCGGTTCCAGCTCAGTTAAAGCACGTTTTGCAAACTGCTACTGACCTTGCCACTCACTCGTTCTCTCTTGAAATAAGGACTATCCGTACTAAAAGGCCACGGGAACAACTGGAACAGTTTTAATTTCTCTTTATTTCCACAACATTTTCAGTTGTTCTTTTCCCCCACCTCCCAGCCAAAGATCAAGCTAGTGTTTTCATCTCACCCACTCTGGCAGTCTTGCCTGCTACCTAGTCTGTTATTTTTACACCACAAACATCTTCTTCCCATCCTACCCAGTTTTAAGTCAAGTTTCTAGGTGTTCTTAAATAGTTTATAAACATCCCATAAAGGTTTGCTGTGTGCAGAGCTACGGTATGTGCCAATCTAACACCAGGTCAGCAGCCTCATTTTAGTAAAAGTAACTTCTCCAAAGCAAGGCAGGCGCTAACTTAAGTGCTCTAATACGAACAAACAGATTGCTTCTGCCCAAATTCCGTGTGTTTTGGAACTGCACTATTTAGGGCAGAGAATTACTAACCCAGGAGTTAACTAACCCAACTAATATTTAGATTATGTTAATTCTAACTGAAGTATTCACTGCAAAATACTGGGTTGTTGAAGAGACTAATGAAAACTAAACCACAGAAAGCCAGATAAACGCATAGTGTCATACCAAAGTATGGAATTTTATGGTTTCTTTGCAGGCTGAAGTTGGGTCCGTGAGGACTTGGACTGACTTGGTGAAATCACTAACTTAAAACCTGTTTCGTTATTCCAGTGCAGATTCCTGAAGGATGATCTACTCTGAGTCAGTGTAATAGCAATTATTTAACCCCACGCCTATTTGTATCCCAAATCAGTTGGTTTCACTCCACATCTTTATATTGTGTTTTGCTGCAAATTATCTGGAGATATCTTTGTTCCCAGTATAAACTAGTAATACCATTCAGACCATCAGCAATAGTTCTGTGTCTTTGGGCATGTAATGACCCCTGATTGTCATGTAATGACCCCTGATTGTCATCGTGTTAACAGCATGCCAACGTCCTTGATTATTTTGAAAGAGAAGCCAAGTATCTGAAGTACTGCGAACAAGAGGATCAAGAGTATCAAGAGTTTCAAGCCAAAACAGAACTGAAGTGGAGCCGGAGGCCCAGAGGGAGAAAACAGTATGTTACACTTGGAATTAAGAAAACTTTGTTTCTTTGGGTCTTTAAAACGCACCTGTTTTGCTAAGCAGCATTTCCCATAGTTCCCACGATTCAAAAATCAGGATAATCAGCATAGCTTAGCAGCTCCTTCTTCCACATTTACAGTTCTTAGGAGCGGAATAGATGGTCCTAATCCATGTGAGTTCAGCTCTTGGTAAAGCAAAACTCCTGCAAGAGCGTTACAGCCTATGGATGTTTAGCAACCATGAATTTGCTTTTCTTTTTACATCAGTTGCTCTTTCAATAAAGTACCTTTTGATGACTCCCCTATAAACACTGCTCCTTCAAGCGAGGAGAGCCTCCAGCCTTCCCTTCTTTATTCACATAAGGATTTTGCCTCTCCATTCTCTGGTCAGTGGTTTAATAACACCAACTAATCAACCAGGGAAATCACAATTCCGCTAGCGTAGCCCTAGGGGACGCCCGTTGTCACTAATCCGTGACAGCACGGGCACTGCCCACCGGGAAGCAACGGGGTCGCCTGCGGCTTTCAAAGCTTAACAGAGCATTATTGCCTGGTATGTGTTTCTCCTTCAGAGTATGACCACTCTACAGAAAACAACAGAAGAGATGGAGGAGCAGGAAAATGCAGGCTATACTGTGTTTCTGGACCTGGAGAAGCAGACACTAACGGATTTAGGACTAATAAAGGGACAAGACAGACGTTCCTCATCAGAAGCTTCGAGCCCATTATCACCTTCAGAACCAATGAGCTTTTTATTTCAGGACCTCTTTATTTCAGCAGAACATGTTTAGCTTCAGCAATAAAGCATCTTGCAGTTAGAGATTATCGTTTCATTAACTTTATCCATTTGTTTACTCACGGTGTGGTTAGAGAGCAACTGTGAGGGGCACACTTCCCCCAGTGTCTTCCATTAAGACAGTTACAATAAACATTCTATCTGTTTAAATAATAGTTTTCAAAGTTCTGTGTCTGTCAGGACTCTCCAAGCTGTAAAAATCTCAAACACAACTCAGCCGGTCAAACCAGCGTGCCAGCATTCCCCCCTCCAATCTCCATCCCCCTGCTCCCCCCAGGGGGGAAGCCATTCTACTCCAGTATTTCCATTCACAGAGCCCAGCCAAATTCTGCTACTCAGCTCCAGCAAGCATTTCCTCCCTCATCCCCAACGTATTCACTCCTCTTGAAAACCGAGGGACGAGCAGTTGGGTTTTTGGAGACGGCCAGGACGTTCCCTGCTCTGGGGGTACGGTGGCAGAAAGAGCGGAGAACGCTCACCTGGGACTCGGGCAGCCCCACGTCCCCGAGCTGCCGGGGAAGGGGAGGCGTGCAGGCACACGGGTACCTCAGATGACCGCAACAATCACAGTAACTCAGGAGATGGAAGGAACAATTCCTCATGCAAAGGCTCCACTCTCACCTAAGGGATTTAAAGATCAAAACCAGACCCTGGAATGCTCTTATAAACCAACGAGCTGTTGCAGCTCACGAAGCCTAGGAACAAAGATACCTTTTTTTTCACGCTAAAGATGATTTCATTGTTAACTAGCTTTACCCACCGCAACTTCCACAAGCAATTCTTTCCCCAAACAGCATGTGCGGTCACCTGGATTACAGCAAGGAGGAGAGGTGGCCATCACTGCCACAAGAGGATCTATCCCAGCAAGATTGCCACAACGCCCAGAAGGCATCTGTCTTGGTTTGAAAGACAGGTGT